AGGGGCCTGAATAATTACCTCTACTATTTTTGGGGCTTTCCTTGGTATAAGTATGTTTTTGTATAATGTGCCCCAAAAACCCTATTCTGGTTATTTAAGGCCCCTATATTGGGTAGGTTAAGCAGATGAGTTTAGCCGGGTCTTGCCAGAAGTCTGCCAGCCTGGCAAAGCGCATCAACTATGCTAGCAATAGAATGCCGTAAGTGTTGCGTTCTACTTGGAGCTTCATGGGTAGTTATAAGTATAGTGTTACAAGTAGGATAGAGCTCGACCTTGGGGTACTTATATGTAACCCTAACCCTAAACCCTAAACCCCTAAACCCCTAAACACTACCCATGAACCTCCAAGTACCACCTCAGAAAGCTGATCCCAGTACCACCTCTTCGAGTCGAGTCTCTGCGGCGTGCATAAACCCTGAACCCCTAAGAACTTCCCTTTTGGGGGGTTTCCTTCTTTTTGGTTTCCTTATGGAAGTCCCCAAAAAGGTAGGTTCTTTGGGGTCTAGGTACACCCTGAACCCTGTTTTGGGGCCTCTTTTTTGCAGGTCGGGGACCCCTTTGGCCGGCACTTTCTGTCCAAGATCCAGCTAAAGGAAACCGAGGACGGCAAGTTCCGCTACAGCACCTTGGTTCCAGAGGGCGAAAAGCAGGAACGCTGCCTGCGCTTGCACATCGCGGCTCTGGAAATTCTCCAAGCTGACATGGGTTTACTTAGTAAGCCCTAAACCCTAAACCCTAAATCCATCCATCCATCCTAAACCCTAAACGCAAGCGCCTATCCACCCCAAGCCGTTCTTTCCTTCGAGACTGCCCAAGAGGTCAAGTTTCCTGTTGAAGCCTGTCCTCCCCAAGTGTTGTGGCTCTTTCTTTGCGCTTCAAAGATTGAGGACGCAAAGAGCCCAGTACCCCGTTTTGGGGCTTATAGGGTTTACATGAGTATACCTTCAACTAGGGACCTCTAGGTTTTAGGTTTGGGGTTTTGGTTCAAGTATATATATATATATTATAGGGTGTTTTACGTTGTGATTCAAGGCATATTAATATATTAACGGGTATTGGGCTCTCTGGGAAGAATGCAGTGGGCTGCATTCTGTTCTGAGGTTACTGGATGGCGAGTATGGTCTTCGAGGAAAGCAAATGCTACGATATGCAGACGGACTGTGCGCGGGCCGGGGAGTGTATTGTAGAACTTGGAAAAGTTGCTCGTGTAGGACGTGCGAGAGGAAGTAATCTGGTGGTTGGGCATGCAGGGCGCGGAGACGTTTCATCAATCATCCCTTGATGGTGTAGTGTGGTCGTTTGCTTCAGGCAACAGATTCCGATCTCTACCAGTTGGAAGCACACCGTGTTCAGTGCTCGGTGGGCCAGGCCTTACAACATGCATCTTGGATCTTTGAGCACCTAAAGCCTGCACCCGAAACCCTATAATCCCTAAACCCCCGACTTCTAAAGTGTTCGGGTCTTTCTGCCTCGGTGTGACTTAGGTGGCCCTGCGAGCGTGCAGTGCAGGCTACATGTATCAGTTCCGCTGCTGCGATGTGGAGGCGAGGGCTTAAGGTTTAGGGTTTAGAGTTTAGAGCTTACGGTTTAGGGCTTAGGGCTGCGATGTTAAACCCTAAACCTTCACCCCTAAATTGGCCCCTCTTTTTTTCCGGCGAGGGCATGGGAGGATGCGAGATGGAGTTGACGCCATGGACGAAGCGCGAGAGCTCACTGAAAGGTCGCATGGAGACCTTGGCTCGGGCCTCAGTCCTTGCCATGGTCATGAAGAGGGGCGAACGTTTACAGGGTTTATGGGGGTTTAGCGGTTTAGGGTTGAGGGTTTAGGGGTTAGGGTTTGTTATGGTTAAGCCTTAGGGGTTTAGGGTCGAGGGTTTATAGGGTTTAGGGGGTTGTTAGGGCCATCTGCAAAGCAAACGCAGCTTCAGTGCCTCCCAGGCGAAGCACGTGATCGGTTGCAAGGACTGGCGACGGTCCGTCCGGAGATGGTATGTTCCGATTTTACTTCCCCACGCCTCAGGGTACTATCATTGTCAGGGTTATTTCCAGGGTTCCTTTAAGATACTATAGCTACACGGGTTCTCTAGGAGTACTTGACAACTGCTCCAAAGGATCACTGGATCTTGAACCACTTCGTGCTGGAGGCCAAAGACCCAGGCGAGAGCAAGTCGGAGGTCCGATTCCTCTACACATGCTGCCAAGTGGCTCCGCACGAACCCATCTCGGTGGTGGGGCATCGCGACCCGATTCCTGAGTGCCTCGGTACTGCTCAGCAGCAAGAGTCACCTGTGCTTTCCCTGTGTCCCAGTCGGAAGAAAACAGCCTCCTTCTCTCTCCGCACCCCTAAACCTTAAGAGCCCTACCCCCCAAACCCTAAAAGCCCTAAGCCCTAACTCCTCTAAGCCCTAAACCCTAAAGACCCTAAACCCTCTGAGGTCCTTTGGTGATTTCGAGGGCGTCTACTACCCGAGGGGCCGCGAGGAAGGCCGGCTCTACTATGAGCCGAGGTGTGGGGCTCAATATAGGGACCTTGATAATTATTGGGGCCTTTAGGGTATCGGGTCTAGAGGATTAGACTAGGTTTTTGGAGTTGAACGGTTTCGGGTCTAGGGTATTAGGGCTTAGGACCCCCAGACTAGTCTAGGTAGTTCCTCAGGCGCCTATAGGTCGTGGTAGGGGCTCTTCGATGTCCAGCGCTGCACCCACAAATGTCGAATGTGGCTCGTGGTGTGTAAGGGAAGTTAATGGAAGTTGCAAGACGCGAGCCCTTGGCCCAAAGCCAAAGCCCAAAACCCAGGTACCACTTTGATCGGACTCCGGTGGGCATGGTGCGGAACTTCAGCTATGAGCGTCACAAGGGTGAGTGGTGCCTCTTCTATGAGGGCTCCAACAAGACCTGCATCGACCAAGATCCGGCCCATGCTCTACAGCTCAGCCCTGGCGGTGAGGACCGTTTTTCGGAACACCTAAAGCCTAAGCTCCCGCAGCTCTAAACCCCTAAACCTCGAATAGTAGCCCATATAATCCCGGAACCCTTAAATCGCCTAAACCCTCAACCCACTCTCAATCCTTTCGCATCAGGACCCCCTGGAGCTGGCCAGCGTGGGCCCTATCAAAAGCAAGCAGGAGCCTAAAGCCAAAAGTTTTCAAAGCGCCAAAAGCCCTAAACCCCAAAGCCCCCGAAGCCCCCGAAAGCATTAGAAGACTTAAAACCCCAAACCCCTAAAGCTCTTTGGCCCCGAAAGCTCTGCAGCAAGACGGTAACCCCCATTGTAGCCCTCGCAAGAGCCCCTGCAGGAACCCTTGAACCCCGAACCCCAAACACTTCATGCAGCCCGTTCTGCAAGAACCCCTAAAAAGAGGGTTCAGCAACAAAAAACCCTAAAAAGAGGGTTCAACAAAACAAGAGATATGAACCCTCAGGGCCTTTCAGGAGCCCCGAGACGCTGAGCCCCAAACCCTTCAAGGAGCCCCCCAACAACTCTCGGGTTCTTAGTAGGGAATGGGGGAATGGATCCCTATGATAGTCCCTTAAGGTCCCGTATAGTAGTCCCAAAAACCGGCTTTTACCCTACCTGTACAGTGGCCGTCTTTCACTCTGGTCCATTGGCCAAACTGTTCCTGCAATGCAAAAAAACCAAGGACAAGCTAGTTGCCTAGCGCAAGTCCCAAAAACCCATTCCCCCATTCCCTATTAAGAACCAGAGAGACAAGTCCCTAAAGCTGAAGGAGCCGGGGGCTCCCATGAAAGAACTCCAGGTGCGCTTGCATGGGGAACGGTGATGCGGGGGCTTAGGGCTTTTAGGGTTTAGGCTTGAAGGGGTTTAGGATGGTTTAGGGTTTAAGGATTAGGGATTAGGGGGTTTTCGTGGGTGTTGACAAGGGGGTTTTAGGGTCTTGTTGGAAGGTTCAGAGGCTAAGTTTCAGGGTGCAGGGGTTTAGTTTAAAGGTTTAGGGGCTTAGGTTTTAGGGGTTGGGGG